GTCCATCATTAAACAGGGGTGGAGGCCTCCGGGTTCAACTGTCCCCCTCTTACAATGCTGTGATTGCTAGTATCACTCAGCCCTCTGTGAGTAGTAAACAGCCATCAGTGTGCTAATGACCCATTGTTAGGCTGATGGTCCTTCTTGAGCATGTGATCAGCTGGTTTTGGTTGTCAGCAGCAAACTGGTTGATCCACTCTAAGAAGGTGCTATTTAAGAGACTGAGCTGAAAACAGCACCTCAGACTGAGGAAGTCTCTTGGATGAGAGACGAAACGTTTCTAGAATTTTTTTTGCTTTGTTTTGCTTTTGTTTTTTTGAATGTCCAGAGGACCAGATTGAACTTTTTTGGATTTTTCTACCTGGATTATTGAGCATGCATCAAGACAAATCGTTGTGTGTTGCTGATGCTGCGGGAAGCAGCTCATCTGTGTTGTGCTCACGTCGTGTGCAGCTGCTCCGTGTAAACGCTCGGGAAGCGGGTGCACCTATGAGCCAACGTGCCCTGAAGAGTCGTGTGTGCGCGCCCTCATTCATGCGACGCCTTAAGCCAGGATTGCCGCGGGGGCGCGCGTTGACATTGGTGCGGTCAGGAAGCAGCGCGCGGCATCGGTGAGGCGAGGTTACTACTGGCTCGGTCTGCAGAAACACGTTCATTCTTGGCTGCGAATCACGTGAACTTTGAGTGATTCCACGAGCTGCAGTATTAATTCAGAAAACCTTCTTCGAAGATGAAGGAGCGGGGCCGCTGTGAGGCTTGTGAAAACTGCTGACGCCGCGGGAGCGTGCGTTTGACACCACTGCGGTGAAAAAACGTGTGTCGCTCCTGCCGAGAGCAAGATACGTTGCTGGGCTCTTACCGCGGTCTCACGTTAACGTTGACGTGAACGGCGGGCGCTGAAAGCTGCGTGCGCGCTTTCATGCCGCGGGAGCGCGTATCGGCACCGCTGACAGTGAATGAAAAACAACCTTAAAAAGGCTCATTCATGATGAGTGTGTGTGATGGGGCCGCTTGTCAGATAATCCATGCTGACAGCCTGGCTAAAAGACACTTCATCATAAAATTATGTTTATTTCACATCGTGTCATCAACACACTTCCAGCAAACCGGCACCTGGTTATCCTCCCTTGAGCTCTGTTTGTTGTCCTGGAGGGCCCCCTGTTGGCGAAGTCCGAGAAAAAAATGAACTTCCGGATGCCGGGGACGTCTGACGGGAGGGGCTGGCGTAGCAGAGCTGGGGAGGCGTTGTGCAGCCGTGGAGCATCTTGAAATGATCTCTCGCTGATGAAAAGAGGACCTCCAACAAAGCTTCTGCAGCTCTCCTGAAAGGAAGGTGGAGTGACGAGCCAGGAGAACCTCTGGGACCTCGTTCTCCGGCTGCGATGCGGGGCAGCGGACAGCAAAGAGGCGCACCGGTTGAGGGTGACATCAGCTGCCCTGTAGACGGAGCGTACTGCAGGGGCCGGCAGCGTCGTTAGCAAGCAGCCGCTACGAGAGCGGAGCAAGCCTAAGGACAGAGGGCCACCGTCTCTTCCCGTCTCTGAACGTGTACGCCAACAGTGTAACGTGTTGTTCGCTGCGGCCGTGTGGAACACATGCTGGTGAGCTCAATTGGAGAGTGGTGTCATCGTCTCGGTTACGCTAACCGGAGGCACGGGACGCTGGTCCACCTCAACATCTTGCTCCAATGAAGCCTCCATCAGGCTCGGCTCCAGGGGGCACGGAGGGACTTTCCGCTCAGTGAACCCCTGCTCTGGAGATGGGTGCGGACTTTGGAGACCGGCTCCCCCAATCTACCAGGAAAAAAACGTCTGTGGCCTCGCCCGTAGTACGTCCTGTTGGGAACACAAGGCCATATGGATCAAGACGGTGAGCCGGAATGGAACCTAGTAAACAACCTTCCTGCCGGATCATCCGAACTGGCGGGAAAGGCGTGGGACATAAAAAAGGGTCCCTTCATGTCAGCCGCCTCCTGGGTTACGCTGGGCAACCCCTGAGGGCGCCGTCAGCCGGGAGCGTTGTGATCGCCGATGCGAAACGAGGTGGGATGGGGTGAGCATTCACTCAGCCCCCCTCCACCGACACTACGCTCTCCAGGAGGGAATGAGCAGCGGGGGGCTGCAGCTGAGCGCCGCCTGTCCCGGAGGAACCATCCGATTCGCTCCGAGGGTCGGCGATAAGAGGAAAATTACAAGATGGCGTTGTCCAGCGTGTAGTGACCTGTCACTGAGAAATATTCCTCGGCGCTTACCTTGAAATAAGACTGCTCGTCAGCTTCTCCTCTGGGAGGAGAACTCACCGGACGACCGGAGGTCGACGTGACGGCCCAAGCATTCTTAGCAAAGGTTGTTCATCTACACAACTTTCCTTCTTCGTTCTTCTAACAGTGCTATTAGCACGCTGAAGAAAAAATGGGAGCCGATTTCCCGCTCTTAACGTAATTTATACGGACCGGGTGGGGCCCACACAGCAGGTGGGCGTGGCCTAAATTTTTCAGTGTAATGCTCCGCATATCGGGATAAACCCACTAAGCGACAGCTCTTAAAGGGCGAAGCCTATACGAAATAGAACTGAAAAGTGGGGCGTGCAATATTATTCGGCCCCTTTACTTTCAGTGCAGCAAACTCACTCCAGAAGTTCAGTGAGGATCTATGAATGATGCAATGTTGTCCCAAATGACTGATGATGATAAATAGAATCCACCTGTGTGTAATCAATTCTCCATATAAATGCACCTGCTCTGTGATAGTCTCAGGGTTCTGTTCAAAGTGCAGAGAGCATCATGAAGACCAAGGAACACACCAGGCAGGTCTGAGATACTGTTGTGGAGAAGATTAAAGCCGGATTTGGATACAAAAAGATTTCCCAAGCTTTAAACATCCCAAGGAGCACTGTGCAAGCGATCACATTGAAGTTGAAGGAGTATCAGACCACTGCAAATCTACCAAGACCCGGCCGTCCCTCTAAACTTTCATCTGGAACAAGGAGAAGACTGATCAGAGATGCAGCCAAGAGGCCCACGATCACTCTGGATGAACTGCAGAGATCTACAGCTGAGGTGGGAGAGTATCCATAGGACAACAATCAGTTCTCAAAGATATCCATAAAAAGTGTTGTTTAAAGTTTGCCACAAGCCACCTGGGAGACACACCAAACATGTGGAAGAAGGTGCTCTGGTCAGATGAAACCAAAATCAAACTGTTTGGCCACAATGCAAAATGATATGTTTGGCGTAAAAGCAACACAGCTCATCACCCTGAACACACCATCCCCACTGTCAAACATGGTGGTGGCAGCATCATGGTTTGGGCCTGCTCCTCGTCAGCAGGGACAGGGAAGATGGTGTAGAGGTTGGCTCCTCTACCCCTCCTTTCTCTGTTGTTTGTGTTTTCCTAATTATCTCTCCACAGCTGCTGCTCATTACCTGGACCAGGTGGAGGAGCTATTTAATCTGGAGCCTCACTCCAGATCAGTGCCAGAGCAAAGTTCTACCAAGCTTCATGTTCTTGTGACTACTGGCTGGCTGACTTCAAGCTCCTTATCGGTCTCCCTGCGTGACAGCAGCATTTCTCCTCCTCCACCTTCACTCCTGTGTGCCTCACCTGGTTCCTGGTTCCTCCTCACCTCCACCCCGGCTCCCTTGGTGATTTTTGTAAATACACTTGTAAATATACTCACCTGATCCCACCGTGGATTGTTGGATTCGGATCCTGTCTCCTGTTCTCATGCTCCTGGAACAACAACGACAAGTAAGCTTATTTTTGGATTACTATCAACATTTCCAAAATCTCCTCAAGATGATCTGTCGTTCACCACCAATCTCCTCTCTATTCCCACAGTGGATCCATCCTGAGTTTGAGTTCACCAGATACACCTGAACCAATAAATAACATTGTTTTTTACCTCAAGTTGTTTAGTCCTTGCTTCAAACTGTTCGCCTTTGACATCACCTACAGACCCTAACAGATGGTCAGAATTGATGGGAAGATGGATGGGGCCAATACAGGACCATTCTGGAAGAAAACCTGTTTGAGTCTGCAAGAGACCTGAGACTGGGACGGAGATTTATCTTCCAACAAGACAATGATCCAAAACATAAAGCCAAATCTACAATGGAATGGTTCACAAATAAATGTATCCAGGTGTTGGAATGGCCAAGTCAAAGTCCAGACCTGAATCCAATCGAGAATCTGTGGAAAGAGCTGAAGACTGCTGTTCACAAACACTCTCCGTCCAACCTCACTGAGCTCGAGTTGTTTTGCAAGAAAGAATGGGCAAGAATTTCAGTCTCTCCATGTGCAAAACTGATAGAGACATACCCCAAGAGACTTGCAGCTGGAACTGCAGCAAAAGGCGGAGCTACAAAGTATTAACGCAAGGTGGTCGAATAATATTGCACGCCCCACTTTTCAGTTAAAAAATTTGTTAAAAAGTTAAAAATTTGTTAAAAAAGTTTGACACATCCAATAAATTTCATTCCACTTCACGATTGTGTCCCACTTGTTGTTGATTCTTCACAAAAAATTAAAATTTTATATCTTTATTATTTGAAGCCTGAAATGTGGCAAAAGGTTGAAAAGTTCAAGGGGGCCGAATACTTTCGCAAGGCACTGTATGCATCATCACTAGACAGCTTCAAGGTCAAAGTCACAAACCAAGGTCATATGTTGTAAAAGGTCTATGCTTGTCTGAGCCTTTGCTATATATTGATGTATAACATTTTACTGATGAACTTATGATGTGCTGTAAGCTGTACTCTGGGTGAGGTCAGTAGAAGATGACCTGTATGTTGCTCCTCTGCCGTCTCCTGCTTCCTGCAGAGGAACTAAACTAAACTGGACTAACACGGACTTTTCTAACCCAGTTGCTCTGCATGTTTTTTTTATGTTTGCAAACGTTCTGCGGCTCCATCAGAGACCCCCGAAGGTTTAGCAGCTTTAAGCGGTCTCATGTTGGAGACGTCCTGGTGTCATGTGTTGGACACTTTGTGTCTCTGCAGTCTCTGCTGCTGCACGGTTCACTTCCTGAGGACGAGCATGACGTGTCCTTGGACTCGGACGACGCTGAGCAGCAGCTGGTAACGTTTGGGTCATTTGTTTGGGTTTCTTTTTTTTTTAAAGTTGGTTTCCTCTCAGTTTGTGTTCTCAGCAGATCAGCTTCTCTTAGCTGTTCGTGTGTGTGTGTGTGTGTGTGTGTGTGTGTGTGTGTGTGTGTGTGT